TGCCACTACAGGACCTTGGTTGCAACAATGATCTATACGGTCCCAGTTTATGTCAATAACGTCACAATAGGCTCCTACTACCCCCCACCCCGTGTCCCGATTTTTCACACTTGCTGTCTGGTCACCCTGGATCACCCTAGTGGTTCATGAGTGTCAGCAGCTTCTGTCAGACCTGACATACTGACTGCACCTCACACACTGCTGGCATAATCTGCATCTGAAAGGTGTCACATGAGAGACTGGTGGAAAGCAAATACCACACTGATCATTAGCATCCTTGCGTGAGGTATGTACGGGGTGTGTAGCAAGTTATAGACATGTGCTAGAATTATGTTCTTCAAGTGTGTTTTTGTTTGTCTCACCAGCCTGCTCGTCACGTAGAGACAATGAAGGTACAGTTCCACAAAAGTGAAACAAAGCCATCAAACTGGGGGGGGGGGAGATTGCCTCTCATAGGGGGCTGAGCTTCAAGCGATAGGCAATTGATCCCAGGGCTTGTCTACAATATTAGTGTATTAGAAAAGCAGAACGAGTGAGGCCTTTCATGACAGCCTGGGACACACTGGCGATGAGTGTCATTGTGAAATGTCGGTAGTAACATAACTGGGAGTGGTCACCCCGCTAGTAGTGACCAAGGCTGGCTGAGATGGGCGGGGGGCTGTTGGGTGGCAGGCAGGCTGCTGGGGTCAGAGCGCTGACCTAGAGCTGCACAGCACACAGACGCTCCGAGGACTGCGTGATTGTCTGCTGGCAGTTGGTGTCCAGGCCCGGAGGCACAGCAGCAGAGCATCCAAGGCACCCTGGTCTTGATTGCACCCTAAAATTGTGACAATGGTCTGAGGGGCAAACTGGAGCATATTTGAGTAGGGCACGTCAGAGCCTGGGATGCGGGCAGTTAGTTGTGCCAGGTGGTCAGAGCAGGAGTTGGTTGCCAGGGGCAGAGTCGGGGCTGGGTTACCTGGAGGGAGGCAATGGGGGCGGGAGCAGTGCACAGCTGGGAACATGCAGGTGCAGGCGCTACCACAGCCAAACTGCAGCTGCTGCTGGGGTTAAGAGACAGCCGGCTGACTCTTCCCACCAACGAGGCATGTAGCCACTCAGGCAGCCTGTGCTCGTTAGGGTGCCCAGAAACCGGCTGTGCTGCAGGTCCTGCTTCTTGACACGAGGTCCCCGCCCCTCACACGACTTCTTGTTAAGATTTCAAAAGTCCTCTGTGACACAGGGCCAGAAAGGGTTACACAACTGGCAGGTTCAATGACCCAGATTCAACCTGTGGCAGCAGAGAAAGAACTGACGGGAAGGGGATTGCAAGGCATGACAGTTTGTTAGCAAGAGTCAGGCTAACTGTAACCCTAATAACGTGAGATCTGTAGAAGCGAGGATTGTGGGAGGCGAGTGGGAAAGAACTGTGTGAGAAGTTGTTGCAACCTTGTGTAGATAATGTGTAGATAATATGGAATGTAGACTAGACTCTAAATAAGTGAGAAAAATAAGATATCAGGATGACCTACGTATAAACAAAATGCAGCTGTTGCTTATTATTGTCTGTAACAAAAGGTATAAATGC